ACTGAGGTGAGGAAGGGGCTCCCCCTGCTGTAGCTGATATACCCACATCCCACTCAGTACTTGACTACCCCTCAACCCTTACACCCCATGTGGTGGTCACCACTAGCTGCCACTCAAAGACAGGGAAGGTCCTTTCAGAGTCCAAAACACGCGCTTCCCTCCAGCCCCTGCCCCACCTCAATCCTACCCAATGGCACAGAAAAAGCTTGAGCTTGGGGTCCAGTTCCCAGGCCCACCACTTCGCAGGTAGCGACCTCAGGGCAAGTCACTTCCCCACCTGGAACACAGGGATGCCAGCCCGCATGGGTGGCGGTGAGGGTCTAATGGGAGTGCTCTGGACCAGCGGGTGCCTCTGTCCCGGCCCCCTCAGCCCTCCGCCCCTCTGGCAGGGCCTCTCCAGTTCCTCAACCTAGTCAGTCCCTTGGCTAGTCAGCTCCCTTTAGTCAGTCCCTTGGCTGGAGCCCTCAGGGCGTGCAGAGAGGGGCCCCCCAGACCCACAAAAGTGGGGGCTGGGGGCGCTGAACTTTCGAACCCGCAAACCCCCCGCGCCGTTCATTACCTTAACGCGAGTTAAAAATAACCGTCTCATCTCTTTAAATTAGTCTGTCTGCAATTACCGCCTGGCACGGCGCTGCCCGCCATCGTCCCGCTGGAGCGGCGCCAGGTGGCAGGCGGGGCCCTCACCCTGTCTGTCGGTCTGTCTGCCTCCCGGCCCCCTCCTCTCCCGCCGCGTGGCTGCCCCAGGGGCCTCCCTGAGCCCCGCCTCCTCAGCTCCCTAAGTTGCGCGGGGTGTGGCGGGGGCAGCCGCTGTGGGGCCAGAAGGGAGAGAGGGGGTCCGCGGGGAGCAGAGTGGGGTGGGGGGGCTGCGCACGGCGGCGGGGGAGGGGCGCCGGGAGGCCCGGGAAGCCGGAAGGGCCCGAAGCGCGCCAGCGCTCGTGGGTGGGTGTGAGCAGGTGGCCGTGGGAGTCTGCCGGGCGTGCCAGCAACTGTGCCAGGAGCGGCTGGCACGGGCTCGTGCCCAGGAGGCGGGCAGCTGCCAGCCCCCCGCTCATGCAGTGAGGGGGGTGAGGACACCCCCCAACCGGGGCTCACACCGCCTCCTCCCGCACCCCCATCAGCCCTTGGGGCTGGGGATCCCCGGAGGACAAAGGAGGAGGAGGGAGCCCTGCTGGAGCAGGCTGAGGGGAGAGAAGGGGGTGGCTTCAGCTGACAGCCACTGCTCGGGCTGTAGCAGGACCCTGCCCCCAGCCTCTCAGATCAGTCCCTCTCTTCCAGCCCACCCCACCTGGAACTTACTGGGCCAGATGGGGGTGGTGCCACCCCTCCTAATCCCATCTCTCATCAGCCAGGCTGCCCCAGCCCCTGGGAGAGAAGGGAAGTTCCCATCCATGTGCTCCTTCTGGGGACAGGAATGGGAGGCGCCCAGGCCTGGCCTGGGAGCTCCCAATGGAGCTGGCAGCCAGGAAACACAAAAGCAGGCAGAACAACTCCAGGGGCGCTAAGTGGAAGGTGTGCCAGAACTCAGAGCAGCCTGAAAGGCTTCCCAGAGGAGTCCAGGGCCAAGGGAAAGTGAGACTGGAGCATCTGAGAGAAAGTGGGAGGCTCTATCTGGATATTCACAGTGTTGGGACACTGTAGAGGGACCGCCTATCCAAGCCCCCATCCTAGGCCTGGAGGGGAACACAACCAGCCCCTTTGGTTGGGTTCCCAGCAATGAGCCCAGCCTCTCTAGGCCTCAGCATGGTCTGGGTGTCCCAAGCCTGCTGCTGGTCTTGTCTTCTCCAATTCCTGTCCTGCACCACTCAGCTACCTCCCTGCATCATAGATGTGACCACAGGGATAAGGCCAAACATGTCATCCCTTCCTGATCTGGCCCATTCCACCCTTCCCATGCCACCTCCCTGTCGTGCCTGGACACCCTTGGTTTGAGCCTGGCACAGCCAAACTGTCCCCAAATCAGACATGCACAATTTCACCTCCCTGCCTTTGGGAATGCAGTCAATACTTCCTGGAAGACTATCTCCCAAATTCTCCCCTCCCCAATGAAGGCAGTGCAGACCAAGTGCCACCTCCTCTGTGAGGACCTCCTTGACTCCCCCAGGGTATCTAACTCCCCTTCCCTGAACCCCTACCCCCATCCCCAGCCTTTCCTATCTACAAAACACAAGACCTGGGTGTGGAACTGGCTAAGTCCTGATTATTCTGAAATAGATCCAATTAATGCCTTCTCCTTTGGTCCCCCGCCCCATCTAACACAGGGTTTGGTACACCCCAGGGATTCAATTGCAGTATGTTTGTAGGGGAGGGAAATAAGGAGAGAACAGTGGGCCCTGGCCCCAGGCCTGGCACCTGAGGTGTTCTGTCTGTCAACCTGAGCCTGGCTGGGAGTTGGGATGGCTTTTTCACCAGGCCTCTGGAGGAAATGACTGGGAATGGGGAAGGGCACCGTGCAGGAAGCTCCAGGAATAAGTGGGGAAGTAGGCTCCCTGGGGAGCTGGGTAGAGGGTGAGATAGAAGGGGACAGCATGGGGCAGGCCCCTTTCCAGTGCCTGGGTGGTCTCTGCGAAAACCTAGGTCAGGAGCCCACGTCTGAGGCTCCCTCTCCAACGCCCAGCCCACGACTGGGAGCCCAGGCACAGGGACAATCGGTGTGTCCCTAGCAGTGTGGTGCAGTGGAAACCGCATCCAATGGGCAGGCAGGAGGCCTGGGCCCTCATCCAAAGCCTGCTGCTCAGTGATGCCCTGGGAAGACTCCTATTCCCTTCTAGGGCTTCAGTCTCACCGTCTGAGAAATGAACTCATGGGTCTAAACTATCTCCAAGCATATTCTCAATCACATTTTAGGATTTATACCTCCCTATATTCAAAAGCCTTCAATGTGCCCCTCCCACCCCCAGCTGCCAGCAGGACACTGTTCCAGAGGTGCTTGGGGACCCTGGAGGGAGAAACATATAGGCTGGATTCCAGCTTTCCCATCCACTGTGTGACCAGTTCATTCCTAAATACAGGCCTCAGGGCCTTCCTTGTACTTGGGGCCAATGCCAGCTTTGGGGACCCTGGAGGGAGACCATTTGGTCACAGTAAAACCACCTCAGGGACTGTTGAGAGCATTAAAGGCAGATATGTGAAGGTGCCTCTCACAGTGCTTGGCCCCAAGACCTTCAATGAACTGCAGTTCTCTCCTGACTTCTAGCCTCATGTTTCCTCTTCCCATCTTTCCCCATGCTGCCTGATGCGCAAGCCGAGCTGGAGCTACACCTCCTGCAAGAAGCCCTCCCAGCCACTCTGGCCCAATGTACTGTCCCCTGCCTCAGCATCCTGCGCCATCCACTCAGTTCCCTGCTCTTTCACTAGACACACACTCGTGGCTTCTTGGTGTCAAGACTGTATGCTGGGTGCTGTGGGGACAGAATGGCTCTGACACTGCCACTGTCTTCCAAAAGCAGGGTAGAGAGGGGAAATGAGACAGAACACAAATGACTAAAACCCGCTACCAGCAGGGAGAGGGCCAGAGAACCGGGAGTCCTAAGCTAGCTAAAAAGAGTTAGGGAAGGCTTCCTGGAGGAGGCATCTGAACTCTGTACCCTTGAGGACACTGAATACATCTCCAGGGAGGAGTAGGCCAGGGCAAGGGGAGCAAGGAGGTGGGAACAATTCCCAAGTGCAGGACACACTTGGGAGAAATGTGTTCTGGTGGGGATTGAGCCCAAGCGGATGGGAGAGGGGATGCAGAAGGAGACCCAGGTCTACTCCTCCAGCCTGTGTTCCTGCTCCATAGTGGCTAGTGAGGGACAGAAGCTGCCAACACTAACCCTGAGAGCCGTGGGCTCCCAGGTCAGGATACCCTGGCTCTACAATGCTGCCCCTGGGTATCTATCTAGAGCTGTTCATGCCCACAAGTCTCCCCTCCTCCACTGGCACACCTCCTTCCTCTGACCCAGCTTGCAGGCACCACAGGGCACAGCCCCCTCCCTTGATATAGGCATGCGTCCCTCACAGAGGCCAGCTCTTCCATAGGGAGGCTGACAGCTCACCTCCTAGGCACAGGTACCCCTCCAGCCTCCTCTCCCCCAAAGGCATAGACTATCCCCACTCTCCAACAAGATGGTCAGGGGAGGAGCTGGGTCGAGAGGCCACAATCCAAGCAAGCCCCTGTCCCCTCCTAAGATGGCTCCCCGCTTTCTACTGGCTGGCACTGAGGCCTCCCTGGGGTACCCTGCCCCTCCCCCAGCCCCTAAATGGATCTGGGCTCCGACAGCCAGGGAAGTGGAAAAAAGCATCCTGGGTGGGTATGGACAGATCCCCAGCTCTCAACACCCTGCCCTCACACCAGCAGGGGCCATCACCAGTGACCCCCATCCTGATCTAAGTAAGGGGGGGCAGCAGCCACCCCATGGAGAACTCAGATCTCAGGTCACCTGCCGAGTTCCCCACTCTGTGCTGGTTGGTGCCCTAGGGTGAACTCTGGCACCACAAGAAGAACTGTGGGCCCATGGTCACACTCCTCACCCTGGGGACAGCTCCAGGAAGGGCAATGATAGAGATTTGGGAGGGAAAGCCGGCATTGGCCCCAAGTCATTATTCCAGCGCTCTCAGAAGGGTGCCCTGGTGAAAAGGGTAAAACAAGAGTCACACAAAGCAGACTCGGGGGAGGAGGAGGAGGGTCCCCAATGTCCACGGCCTGGGAATGGGTTCCTCTGCTATGCCCCCAAGGACAGGGTGGGGACGTTCCTCGGGGACGCCTCAAAGCGGCAGTCCCTTGTCACCCCACCAGACCTCCCACCCCGCATCCCTCCCGGCAAGGGAGCACGCACACAGCTGCTCCCAGTACGCCCCCGCCCGTCCGCTGGCCGGCCCCACGCCCTGGGCACACACTCTGTGACCCCGGGCGGTGCCAAAGAGCCCTCCTCCTGACTGCCCACCTGCAGCCCAGCACACCTAGCAGCCCCTGGAAGCCCCAGTCGGCGTCCCCAGCCCCCTCCCCAGTCGGACGCCCCCACCTTCCAGCCGGCCGAGCTGTTGCTGTCGCCTTTATCCTTGAAGTAGGGCACGTAACGGACCATCCAGTCGTAGATCTGCGAGAGCGTGAGCCGCTTGTCCGGGGCGCTCTCGATGGCTTTGGTGATGAGGTCGGCGTAGGACAGGTTCCCCCACGCGTTCCGCCGAGAGCTCTTCGCTTTCCGCAGCGGTCCGACCTCCGCGCCCAGGGGCGGCGCTGGGGCCATGGCCGGGGCCGTAGCCCGGCGCTCCGGCCCGCAGTCCTCGGCGCCCTCGGCCACCCCTGCGCCCAGCGCTCCGTCCTCGTCGCCGGCCAAGTCAGGCTGCGGCAGGGGCCAGGTACACGAGCGCGGCCGGCTCTGCGGCGCGAAGTCCGGGTCCACGTCCACCTGATGCGCTCGCAGCTTCGCAGCCATGGTCCCGCCCGGCTCGGGCGAGGAGGGGAGGGAGGCTTCGCGGAGGGTGGGCGGGCGGCTCTGGGATCTGCACGCCCCGGGGAGGCCCGCGGGAGGGGTCCCTGGCGGCGCTGTCTCAGCCGCGGGGCGCCATGGGCCGAGGCGCGGAGGCAGGGGGCTGGACGCGCTGGGGAGCACGAAGGGAGGGAAAGACCGGGGCAGTGAGGGGGCGGCGGCCCGGGAGCCCAGCGGGCACACACCTCGCCCAGCCCCGTTTCTAGCACCTGCCGCCTGCCTGCGCCTGCAGCCACCACCGCCACCGCCGCTGCCGCCGCTCCCCGGGCGCCGGCCCTGCACACGGGCCCCGCTCTCCCGGGACGAGGCCGGATTGCACCATGCCGGAGCCCGAGCCGGTGCCGGAGCCCGCGCCGCCGCCGCCCGGTGAATGCCGCCGCCGCCGCTCCGGCTCCAGCGCCAGCTCCCGCGCCTGCCGCGCTCAGCGCCGGCTGCACCTCGGGATGGGCGGGGGACGGGGAGGGGGCGGGCCCGGCGCGGGAGGGGGCGGGGCGTTTCGCCTGCGGCCGCGGAATCCTCAGCCAGCCCAGGTGCCCCGCCCGCGGGCTGGGAGACGGGGTGCGGAGCTCCCAGCTCGGGGCGACCCCGCCGCAGCCCCTGCAAGCAACAGCGCCGCCTACGGAGCAGGGGCGGAGCGGCTGGCGCGACCCCGCCCCCTGCTTGGCGCGGAGAGGGGGCCTAGGGGGCGGGGCCTTAACGCTCCCATTGGTCCGCGACTGGACTGTCCCGCCCATGGACTCAACAGGATCCCTCCCAGAAGCGCGTCACCGGTTATTGTTACAACCCGGGGTTTCCCGGGGCAACGGGATGGGCGGGGCTCAGGGCACTGGCCCCGCCTTCTACTCCGGAGAGGACTGCCCCGCCCTCTGTTTCTAGACCCCTGACGTTCTCAAGTCTCCGTTCCAGGAACCTGTCAGGGAGGATGCTCGAACTCTACTCTTCTTTGTGCCCTGGACTGGGCTGGGGAAAAAGAATAGGTCAAGAATACTTGGGTTCTAGGCCAGGCTTTGCCACAATTCTCGCTCCTCCATCCGCAAACATCTTCTTCGTGGTGCCTGTGGGCATAGTTTTAGAGCTCCAGTTCTCAAAGTTTAACGCAGAGCAGAATCATCCCCTAGAGCCTGTTAACATTGTTGGACCCCAGCTCCAGAGTTTCTGATTCGGCAGGTCTGGGTTGGGGCCCCAGACTTTGTATTTCTAACCAGCTCCCGAGTGATGCATGAGAGACCACACTTTGCAAACCATTGTTTTAGAGTCTGTGGGAGGTTCTTACTACGGTTGTTGGAACAAGTACTTGTCTAAAGTTCACAGTGTTTGGGGAGAAGCTTCTTATTCAGTTCCTGGATATTTATTGAGTACCTCTGACGCACCAGGCACTGTCCAGGGCTCTACAGTGAGAGGAGCAACTGAAACAAATGAGGTCCCCTGCTGCATAGACTAGTCAGGAGTCAGATGCTAATCAGATCATCACATGAGCTCAGAAGGGCGAGGCTAGCCGAGAGGCTGGTCAGTCCGTGGCCTCATCCTACAGGCTGCTGAGCTAGGTTTCCTAGTCACCACTGCACCTGCTGGCCTTTGCTCAGGGTATTTGTCCCCTCTGCCTAGAACAGCATTTCCCCTCTGCAAGGCCCTCATCAGAGATTCTCCCACTCTTCAAAGCTCCGTGCAAATGTCAACTTAACCCTGACACCTTCTCTAGCCTCAATTCCGAACACTTTTTGTTCTCTGCTTGCCCAGACCGCTTATTGAGCTGCCAGCAACACCTTGTGCCCCTTTAGCACAATATTCCTATTATGCCAACCAGGAAACCGAGGCCCAGAATGGACAGGTGACTTGCCCTGGTGGCATGGCCAGGACTGGAATCTCAAGCTCCTGACTTCTTTACCAGCCAGTACTTTGCTCCTGGGGAGGCCGGAGATGCAAAGGTCTCTGGGCAGTGGGAGGGCTGAGCCCAGGCCATGGGAGATGGCCTCCTTTCTCAAAAATTTCTTCCTTCCAGTTTAGGACATGAGGAGCAGGGCCAAGGGTAAGGGTAGGGGTGGGGCTGGAGGAGCCCCTCCTCATCCCCCAGGGTGGAAGCAGGTCTTGCTTGCAGATGCCTGGCATGGCATCTGCCTGAGTCACATCACAAGGCAAGGGTGGGCATGGCAAGTGCTGGCTGATGACCACCCCCCCCCCCGCCACCATCCATACACATACACACATCCTGCAGGTGGTTCTGCTTAGAGTCACAAGGAGCCTGAAATCGTTGCTGAATCCACCTCCCCACCACCACATCACTCATATGCCCTCTATGCCTGGGGAGTCCACACTGGGAGCTGCCTGCCTAAGGGACCCTGGACACCGAGCAAGCCTCCTGGCAGTCTGCAGCTCTGGCCCAGCTCTGAGCTGTGAGACAGAGGCCTGCTGAGGGCCATACCAGTGCTGGGAGGATCCTTCGCTGGGGGCCCTGGCACAGGCTGCCACTGTGGGTCTGGGAAGCCAGGTTGGCAGAGATGCACTAGAGGCTGACTCAGGCTCTGTTCAGGCCCCTGCTCTGCCCAGTGTCCACAGCTGCTGCCTAGACTCTCCTCTGAGGCCCATGTCTCATACACTCAGCTCCTACACACACACACACACACACACTCAGACTCACACCCAATAGTACACACTCACATTCTTCTTCACTCACAACTTGGCCCCTACTCACACATTCATTTTGAGGCAGTATAATGTAGCGATTAAGAGTGAGAGCATGGGCAAGTTACGTAACTGCTCAAAGTCACTCTTTCCTACTCTACAAATGACTACCATAATAGCACTACCTTCACAGGATATTTGAAAAATTAAATACGTTTATGAATGTGAGCACCAGGCTCAGAATAAGCATGCAATAAATGCTAGCTGTTTTTATTGCTGCTGTTGTGTGTACATATCTTCCCTTCCTACTTTGCCCAGCTCATACAGTACCACCTGCTCTTACCATGCACACACTCACAGCCGCTTACTCACGTAGGCTCTCTAACAAGCACACTCGCCATGTGCCTCACACTTGTGTCCCAATTACACAGACCCATGGTTTCTACCTAGAGTTCCTTTGACCACCAGCTCTCACCCTTCCCTGCTCCCCCAGGCTGGCTCTCAAGCTCCCATCCACCCTCCCTACCACGCCCACATTCATTTCTGTTCACAAACAAGCCCCCACTTGCTTCCCCTTTCATTCCTCCTTTTTCCACACGCAGGCACATATTCTTCACTCATACCTCCCTGGACACTGGAACATGCTCACATTCCAGTGCACGCACGCTCACTTGCCCACAGGCAGATGGATGTGCGTGTTACCCACTCAACTCGTGCTTGGATCACACAACTTGTACACATACACTCAAACAATCCCAGTGCATGCCTCAATACCTCAGCTGGCTTGCCCATTCCCAGTGAGGAGCGCACATCACACAATTCTCCTAACACACACTGCCATCGGCAGACACCCCCTGACCCGGGGCTACAGTGGCACTCCCCTCGCCCTCAAGAGACTGTCTCCTCCCTGTCACTTCCCCTCCTCCAGTCTCAGCTCCCCAGCCCCTCCCAGAGCCCAGAATAGCCCCTGCCACCACTGCTGCTGCCACCGCTGAGCCATCAGGGCCCGCCAGAGCCCGCTTCTCAGTGCTCGCTGCCAGCTCTCCCGGCTCACTCAGGGCAAGTGAGGACAGGAGGACGAGTTTCTGTGAGGCCTGATGGGCATAGCTGCACTGCATCCCTAACAGCCCCTTCCAGAGCCCACCTGGAAGAAGTCAACCTCCTGGGATTGGCTGCTGCCACTTGCTCAGGTTTCACCTGTGTGCCCTGGTCCTCATACCCCTGATTGAAAGCAGAGAGGGCTGCCTCTCAGAGAAACCCAGGTCTGGGAAGGAAGAGGTTTGCTCAAGGAAGCGCAGTGAGTTAGGAACAGAGCCAGACCACAATCAACCCAGTCATTCCTAGCCCATCATGCGGGGGCTTGAGAAGACCCTCCCCTAAACCACATGGTTATCAAGAACCCACACCCTGCCAGCACTGAGCGGAGGCTGGTTGATATTTAATGCCACCGTTGCCAGGAAAAAAAGAATAGCACAGGAGTGATGTCTGGGGACACCTCTGGAGGGGAAGGGAAGGGGCTGGTGACCAGAGGAGGCCTCCAGGGCAGAAAGGGGGAGTGTCTGCAGAAGCCAGAGGGGATATCAGGACAGCTGGGAGCGCCTCCAGGACAGGCTCAGGCCTGGCCCCTGCAGGGACGGTGTCAGGGAGTGGGTGGGGCTGAGCTGAGGAGGCTCGGCTGAGGGCACAGTGCAGCAATGCAGCCCCTATGAGAAGACACAAGGCCCCTTCAGCGGCCTGCACAGACCACAGACCAGGCCTGGGCAGAGAGTTCTGCTGGCCCTGGGAGGCAGCTTACAGCAGCGACTGCTGGGTGCCCAAGAACATGGAGCCCAGGCCCCAAAGACCTTGTACCTTCCTTGTCCAGGAGGCTGTACTACCACTGTACTGGCAGGGTAGAGAATGAATGCCAAAGTGAGCTCCTCTTACAGGCCAAGCCCATTCTGCACACCATCCCGTTCAATCCTATATTCTTATCCCCATAAGGTTCCCCAAGCACTCACTAAGTGCTGGCCCCTGTGAAGCACCTGACAGGCATTACCCAAAAGAATCAGACTCCTAGGAGCAAGAACTGGGCACATCTCATTCATTGTTGTGTCTCTGGGGCCTAGAGCAGAGGCTGACACAGAGGAGACCTTCTGTAAATATTTGTTGAGTGAAGGGATGTGAGAAGAAATCACAACCACCTGAGAAGCAGAAACTATTATTCCCATTTTCTGGATGAGGAAAGTGAGACTGAGAGAAGGGAAGTGAGTAACTTACTTCCCTGGAAGTCAAACTAGAGTCTAGGTTTGCTTCTTGCATAGCACTGAGGAGCAGGGAAAAAATGAGCTTAGAGGCAAATAACTTCCCTTTTCTAAGTCTCAGTTTCCTCATCTGTGAAATGGTAATGGCTGTACTTACATCAAGATCCCATATGTGAAGTGCCAAGCACAAAGCCCTGCAAAGAGTAAATGTCAAACATCACATGTCCTTCGTCCTCCTCCTCTGCCTTGGGTTTTGTCCTGATAGTCTAAATTTTGGCAGGACCACAACTGGGATCTACAGTGCCTGTACGTCACCCTCCTTCTGTACCATGGGAAGGAGGTAGATTAATTTGTTAGGACTGCTGTGATAAAGTACCACAAACTGGGTGGCTTAAAACAACAGAAATGTATTGTCTCACAGTTCTGGAA